GATCTCCAGGCCCCACCTGGAGGTTAGCAACCCTACTACGACACCCAAGCATTTTATGCTTTTCGAGAGACCTTTTGCCCGCTCCGAGACCTCCAGAGCCACATACGTGTGTTTGTGCACGTTTTGCCATTCTTGTTGGGTGTTTCCATGCGGTCGCTCATCCTTTCTCAGAGGGTTATCTTATCTCCCTTCTGTTTTCAAAATACAACGATTTTGAATAGCCGCCGGAGTAGAACTTTACAACAGAGAGAGTGCTCATCATAACTTGTTTCTGCCCTTTGATTGTCGCGGCACGAAATAAGAACGTAAGAAGAGCCCTGCTGGACCAGACCAGTGGTCCATCTAGTCCAGCATCCTGTCTCACACAGTGGCCAGCCAGTTCCTCTGGAGGGCCAACAAAAGGGCACAGAGGCCGAGGCCTTCATAAGAACATAAGAAGAGCCCTGCTGGATCAGACCAGTGGTCCATCTTGTCCATAATCCTGTCTCACACAGTGGCCAGCCATTTCCTCTGGATGGCCCACGACAGGGCACAGAGGCCAAGGCTTTCATAAGAACATAAGAGCCCTGCTGGATCAGACAGGTGGTCCATCTAGTCCAGCATCCTAAGAACATAAGAAGAGCCCTGCTGGATCAGACCAGTGGTCCATCCAGTCCAGCATCATAAGAACATAAGAGGAGCCCTGCTGGATCAGACCAGTGGTCCATCTAGTCCAGCATCCTGTCTCACACAGTGGCCAGCCAGTTCCACAGAGGCCGAGGCCTTCCCTTGATATTGTCTTCTGGCTCTGGGATTTAGAAGTTGACTGCCTCTGAACATGGAGGTTCCCTTCAGCCACCACAGCCAATAGCCCGCGATAGGCCACTTCTCCATGAATCTATCTAATCCCTTTTAATCACTCTCTGTGTAAAGAAGTAGTTTCCATGTGGCCCTGAGAACCGATGTGCAGGTACAGTATCCCGCCAGCACTGGTTTCTTGTAGGCTACGTTTGCGAAGACCTCTGATAACCTCCTGGTGACCCACAGCTCAAGCCCTGCTGTGACAGAGTTTAATTTTTAATGCGACTGAAGGCCAAGGGGGGAGTCTTCTGCAAGCCTGCTGTTCCATCTCGGAGGGATGCTCTGTATGCCAGCCGTGGTTTGTTACCTAGGCGATCCTGTTGGCACCTTGCAGAGGGAAATGACGTCATAAAGGGGCTGTTTACTCATTGCTGGATTTCCTACCAATTTAGGAAATGGGAACATGGTTGTGAGGTGGGGAATGGTTAGGCTCAGTCTGACAGCATAACACGGGGGGAGGAACGCTCTCAAATAGGGAAGGGAGCTGTGATCATTCTCGCACTGCTGAAGGTCACCTGAGACCAGGGGTCATTTCGTAGAAAAAGAGGTGCAGGAGCTCATTAGCATAACTCATTAGCATAACTTATTTGCATATGCCACCCCTCCTGACATCACCGGAAGTCTGTCAGAAGGCAACACCCACCGCTCAGGCTCCACTGGACTGTTTTGGATTGCTAGCTAGTGAGGGAGGGGGGAATGTGCAGATCTGTCCTCACAGAGGAGGGAGAGCTTGTACCTGAATAAAACTTGGTCTTGAAGGTGCCACTGGACTGTTTTGGACCGGGGGGGCGGGGGGGGGTCTGCAATTTACCTGGCTGCTTCTTGCTCTGACTGAGGGCTGCTGGGAGCAGGGGGTGGGGCTTGTTGCATGTGCCCGCCCCCTGGGCTCTTTACTGCCGGAGCTCCGCTCCTGTGCGCCTCTGCAGGAAATGACCCCTGCCTGAGACGCAAAAACCTGAGGGTTTGTGCTGTGTAGGTTACCCCAGAGATCTCTGGGAGTTGTGGTTTGTGAAGAGCCTGAGGTGTCTGCGTTGCAGAACTACTCAGAGAGCCAGTTTGGTGTAGTGGTTAAGATCAACAGCAGGTCCCTAATGTGGAGAACCAGGTTTGATTCCCCACTTCTCCTCCACATGAAGCCAGCTGGGTGACCTTGGGTTAGTCACAGTTGTCTCAGAGCTCTCTCAGCCCCACCTGCCTCACTGGGGTGTTTGTTGTGGGGCGAGGAAGGGAAGGCGATTGTAAGCCATGCCTCCTTCAGGTAGTGAAGGGTGGGGTATAAAACCAACTCTCCTCCTCCTCTCACCCCATTCCTGGGTTAGGCAGCAGGATATTCTGAGGTGGTTCTAAGCTTCTGCTGTAGCATCTCTTGTCGAGACGGCCAGATCTCAATTCACCGTGTCATAGAAGACTTCTTCACAGATCTTCAAATGGCAGACAGAGACAGGAGACCCATCTTGGTGCATTTGTTGAGAGTGAGATGAAGATTTGCAGAAGCACTTGGGAACTCTGCATTTGGCTCGGAGAGTCTTGGGGGGGGGGGACACGACGAAATGTGCTGAATCTGCTGTAGAACAGTGGCCAAGAAGAATGAACAGTGATCTGGGAGGAGGGATGCCACTTACCCATTTCCAGCGGGGAAGGTTACCCTTGATACTCCCCACTGTTGCTCGAATGAGCAATGGAAGAAATGGCGAGGGGGAAATGACATCATTTCCAGCAGAAAAATGGAAGTGACGTCACCACATTGCGATAACATTCCCGGAATCCCTGGGATCGTTATGGTCAGACCATAGAGATCGACAGGATTCCTAGAGTGTCGCTGCAATGTGGTACCATCACTTCCAGTTTTTCCATAGGAAATGATGTCACAGTGGTGCCGTTTCTGCCCATCCCTTCCACCAGAGTCTCCTGCCACTGGAGTATCAAGGCCTGGCAACGCTATCTGGGAGATTCCTGGGTCAAGTGTTGCCTTTGCCTTGGCTTCTCTAGGGCCATTTCCACAAAGGTTATTTGCCCTGGGTTTAACACTGTTGAGAAGCATCTCCCTCTCCCTCAAGCATCGAGGTGCATTTTGTACAACTTCTGGGGCTTCCCCAGCTGTTCTCCGTATGTCTCAAACCTATTTGACTTCAACGTTTTGGGAAAGATTGCAACAAAGCCTGGGTGGTTACCATGTGGGCCCCAAATTGCAGATTTTTCTGCCCACCTGGCTGCCATTTTCCCTGACATCCTTGCGGTGACCATTTCCTCCCCTGCCACTTTTCTCAGCGATTTCATATTGTTAGATCGGTTTATACCAATAAACATAGCAGGTTCAGTGAATTTCCCAGCTTCTAAAAAAAGTAAGTCTCTATCCCCTTTCATTGTAGAGATATAAGGGGAAAGGCATATCTCCACAACAGAAGAGGATAGAGACTGTTCTTTAAAAAATTAAAGCTGAGAATTCAGAGAAGCTGTTACGTATATTGTTACAGTATTGCATTGAGTTAACAATACTCGATTGCTCATTTTTTTTAAAAATGGAAATTTTCAGTGGCCTTGGAGAAGGGGAGGTGGCTGCTGCGGGGGGGGGGGAGGCAAGGAAACTGCAGGGAAATCTGCAGTGTGGAAGGGCTTGACTGTAGTGTGCAGATAATAACAGAGGAAATCTACCATAGATGGCTGTTGGAAGTTTGCAGTAAGTTTACACAAGCTACCACAAACAGGCTTACCAAGTACTTACCGTGATTCGGCAGGGGACACAGACATCTTCCCAGGATTATTCCCATGCGGACAACAGACACGCCGTACCATGCCATCGCCAGGAAGTGACGCCGGGCAACGCTCCAGCAATGGGGCTGGAAACTCGATGGTACCATCGAGTTTTCAGCCCCATTGCCAGAGCGTCACCCAGTGTCACTTCCTGGCGACGGCATTGTGCATTACAGGGAGGAATGTTCCGGCCAGGGAGCATGTGTCCCTCGCCGGATCGTGGTAAGTACTTGGGAACCCTAACCACAAATGTTATTATTATTTAAAGCAGGGGTGATATGGTGCCTGCTGACATCTTTCCTGACACCCGCCAAGTGTTTTTAGAAAGTGGGTGGGGCTTTTACTTATCAGGGTTCCCGATTGGCCAATGTAGATCTGATGAGATGTGCAGATTTCTTTTTGTAAGTTGCTTCATTAGTAGCTGTTGCCAGTGGTCCCTCTAAGCTATGGAGTCTTATGGGCAAAAAAATCTGCTTTGTGAGCTACTGGCATTACAGTTGTGAATGAGCGATTGGGCTGTTGCCTAAATCAGTTTGCTCTGGAGCCATCCTTCCTGAGCTAAGATAAAAATGTGTGAGCCGGAGGCTAAGAAACTGTGAGCTAGCTCACACTAACTCAGCTTAGAGGAAACACTGGCTGTCATTACAGAAGAAGAAGAAGAGATTGGATTTCTACCCCGCCCTTCACTACCCAAAGGTGTCTCAGAGCGGCTTACAAACTCCTTTCCCTTCCCCTCCCCACAACAGACACCCTGGGAGGTAGGTGGGGCTGAGAGAGCTCTTGACAGAAACGGCTCTTTTTCAAGAACAGCTCTTATCAGAACTAGGGCTTGCCCAAGGTCATCCAGCCAGGGGCAAGTGGAGGAGTGGGGAATCAAACCCGGTTCTCCCAGATTAGAGTCCGTGCACTTAACCACTACACCAAACTGGCTCTTGAACTGGCACAAGGGTCTTGACTGCAAGGCCAAAAGTGTGTACAAGAAAATATTTTTTAAAAACACGTTAGTTTTAAAAGGTATTCTGTTATACAAGAGCTCCTGTCTGAAATGTTGAAGAGTTACTATACTCATGACCCCACTCCCTGATATTTTTGTGGTTGTTTCTGATTCTTGTAGCAGCTGTTTTGTGGTTGGCTATGCCTCCCATGGCAGCCATTCTGTTAGTTATGCCCACTCCCCCATATCAGAATGCCCAAGGTGCCCGCAGGCTTAAAAAGGTTGGGGCTCCCGTGATATAAAGGGAAAAGTGGAAAAGATCCAGAGGGGTAGAAACCTCTTGGTTCTACCCCTGCATTGGGCAGGGGGTTGGACTAGATGACTTGTCTGGCCCCTTCCAACTCTATGATTCTGTGATTCTATGACTATGGTCCAAGAAAACAGTGTACTGAAATAGTTCCTGATTTTGTTTCAGAGTTGGTGAAATGCCCAAGAGCTGTTTGTGAGTAGCCAGAAAGACTTTGCACGGCGCTACGCGAGACTCCCTGCGGAAGGAGACCTCTCTTCTGGGTGGGATGCCGAGGAACATGATGTCGGACTTCTCTGGAATGGTGTGCGAACTTTCCCCTAAGTGTCAATTTGGGAACTTTGGGAAGAGCAGCGGCCCGCTGGAGAATGGAAAAGGCCGACCGAGGCGCACAAACTCTACTTTGGTAAGTGCCGGACTTCACTGATGTCGATGCGGTCTTCCTTGTTTTGTTTTTCGTTCCCAGAACCACAGGTTGAATTATTTGCTGAATAGAGGGGATGTTGTTAGTGGCTACTTTGACCAGCGAAGGTCAACAGCTACCCTCCAAAGCGGCTTGCTGCTAGAGTTGCTAACCTCAGGTTGGGAAACTCCTGGAGATTTGTGGGCAGGGCCTTGGAGGGGCAGGCTTTGGGCTGGGGAGGGACCTCTGCAGGGTTTAATGCTACAGACGCCAACCTCCAAAGCTGCCATTTTCCCCCAGGGATGCTGATCTCTTCTGCCTGGAGATCAGCTGAAACTCCAGGAGCTCTCCAGGCCCCAGCTGGAGATTGGCAACCCTAATTGCTGCCAGGTGTCTTTGCTGCGGTGAGATCTCTTTCCTCATCCTTATTTTATCCAGCAGAAGGAGCATGGTATAGCCCGATCTCAGAAGATAAGCAGGGTCAGTACTTGAATGATGGTGACCCCAGCAAAGGGCTTTCAGGGCAAGTGAGAAGCAGAGGTGGTTTGCCATGGCCTTCCTCTGCAGAGTCTTCCTCTGCAGAGGAAGGCCATGGCAAACCACCTCTGCTTCTCACTTGCCCTGAAAGCCCCTTGCTGGGGTCACCATAAGGCTTGGATGAGAGACCACCCAGGCCTTGAAAGCCCCTTGCTGGGGTCACCATAAGGTTTGGATGAGAGACCACCGAGGAAGACTCTGCAGAGGAAGGCCATGGCAAACCACCTCTGCTTCTCCCTTGCCTTGAAAGCCCCTTGCTGGGGTCACCATAAGGTTTGGATGAGAGACCACCGAGGAAGACTCTGCAGAGGAAGGCCATGGCAAACCACCTCTGCTTCTCCCTTGCCTTGAAAGCCCCCTTACAGGGGTCACCATAAGGCTTGGATGAGAGGCCAAACCTCCAAAGGAAGTTTAGAAAACTTATTGAGGGTCAAAAGTTAAAAATATAAGTAAGTGTACAAAATAGTGTTTATTACAAAAACATATAAAAACCTAGTAGGGGCCCAAATAAAGCCTCATAAAATGTTCAAAGTTACAAATACTCACCAAAAAAGATGCGTTTCGGCTCACAAGAGCCTTCTTCAGAGGTCACATAGTGCAAAACACAACAAAGAACACATGTAAGGCAATTAACAATAAATAAAATAGGACCAAAATTGGAATGTTCCAATATGGAATTGAATGACACACCGAAACGTTTCTATTTGGGGCCACAAATATATCTGGCCTTGTGTCAGAAATAGTTGTATATACTGGAACTAATATGTACTTTCCAGTTTAGGTCCTAAGAGTGCAAGTCAAATTGCCCTGTCAGGGACAATGTGTCATCGATATGTAACAGTCAACAGACCACCAAGCAGTGTTCCCTCTAAGCTGAGTTAGTGTGAGCTAGCTCAGTTTTTTAGCTTCCAGCTCACAGATTTCTGTCTTGGCTCAGGAAGGATGGCTCCAGAGCAAATTAGTTTATGTGGTAGCCAAATGGCTCGCTCACAACTTTAATGCCAGGAGCTCACAAAGTAGAATTTTTGCTCAGAAGACTCCACAGCTCAGAGGGAGCATTGCTACCAAGGAAGGCTGTGCAGAGGAAGGCCATGGCAAACCACCTCTGCTTCTCCCTTGCCTTGAAAGCCCCTTGCTGGGGTCACCATAAGGTTTGGATGAGAGACCACCGAGGAAGACTCTGCAGAGGAAGGCCATGGCAAACCACCTCTGCTTCTCCCTTGCCTTGAAAGCCCCTTTCCTGGGGTCACCATAAGGCTTGGATGAGAGACCACCAAGGAAGACTCTGCAGAGGAAGGCAACGGCAAACCACCTCTGCTTAATCACTTGCCTTGAGAGCCCCTTTCATGGGGTCACATTTTATCCAGCGGTTGGCTGTAGGAGAGGGAAGGCCAGGCATCAGGCATCACTGCCACAGGAAGTGGTGGCGGCTACAAGCATGGATGGCTTCAAAAGGGAATTAGATAAGCATATGGAGCAGAGGTCCATCAGAGGCTATTAGCCACAAGGTATAGATAGGAACTCTGGGGCAAGTTATGCTGTCTTCTTGGTGCTTGGGGGGGTCAACAGTGGGAGGGCTTCTAGTGTCCTGGCCCCACTGGTGGACCTCCTGATGGCACTGGTATTTCTGGCCACTGTGTGAGACAGAGTGTTGGACTGGATGGGCCTTTGGCCTGATCCAACATTGGCATCTCTTATGTTCTTATGAGTCTCTGAGAGGCCAGATTAAGCCCCTGAACGTCTGTTCGCTGAGCTCCAAGATAAGGTTACCTTAGCAGCTGGTCCGTGAGTGACTTCACCCGTTACAACACAAAGCAGAAAGTAGGTGCATGTTATAGTGTGCAGGCTCTCCTGTTGACAGATGGAAAGAGAACACAAGGCACTTGGGGGGCAGCAGGGCAGTGCTGGGGCTGGAAAACCCATCCCTCTGGTCTTCTGGGGTCTCATCTTGAGGGAGCCTCCGGTGCTTCTCGTCTTGGTTGGTTGATATTTTAAGTATCTGCACCCTACCTTTCCAATAGAGTTGCCAGCTCTGGGTTGGGAAATACCTGGAGATTGTAGGGGTGGAGCTTAAGGAGGGTGGGGATTTGGGGAGGGGAGGGGGGATTTCAATGCGATACAATGCTATAGAGCCCACCTTCCAAAGGGGCCATTTTTCTCCAGGGGATCTGATCTCTTGTCGCCTGGAGATCAGTTGTAATAGCGGGAGATCTCCAGCCGCTCCCTGGAGGCTGGCAACCCTAACTTTTCCAACAGTGCTCTGTGAAGCAACAGCATTTGCAATGTTAGAACCATTCAAGGACGATGCACCAAGCAATGTTCCCTCTAAGCTGAGTTTAGTGTGAGCTAGCTCACCATTTTTTAGCATCCAGCTCACAGATTTTTGTCTCGGCTCAGGAAGGGACGGCAGTTGCCAAATGGCTCACTCACAGCTTTAATGCCAGTAGCTCACAAAGTAGGATTTCTGCTCACAAGACTCGATGACTTAGAGGGAACATTGGCACCAAGTAAAGTGGACTCTTAACTGATTGCGGAACAGCAGTGTCCGTATTAAGGGTTGAAAAATCAGCCGCAGGGTGGTTTGGGTGACTGAGCCGCTGCTTCACACGCAGTTGATTCCTGGTGTTTAAAAGGAAGGTCTCAGAGGGCAGGGGCTAATTTGTGAGGGAGATCTTGGCTTTCACACGGGGCTGGCCAAGAGACAGAGTAAGTTACTTCCCCCCCCCCCCCAATCCTGGGCCCAGCATATACACCGAGAGCTGCTGATTGTGGATGTATCTGTGTTTGTGTAGAGACGCTGAGAAAGAATACTGCTGAGAACCAGTTTGGTGTAGTGGTTAGGAGCACGGACTCTAATCTGGGAGAACTGGGTTTGATTCCCTGCTCCTCCACGTGCAGCTGCTGGTGTGACCTTGGGTCAGTCACAAGTTCTTTCAGAGGTCCTGTCTCAAGAGCAGTTCTCGAAAGAGCTCTCTCAGCCCCACCTACCTCACAGTGTGTCTGTTGTGGGGAGGGGAAGGGAAAGGAGATTGTAAACCATGACTCCTTCGGGTAGTGAAGGGCGGGATATAAATCGAATCTCCTCCTCCTCATCCTCCTTCATCCATTTCATTTTATCCCTCCCCTCTCCTTCCTCCAAAGTTCCATTCACATGTTAAATTGGATGCAAACACGTCTGCATATTGATTAGAAACAGTCAACAAGCGTTTGCCCTACAAATGAAAGCAGGTACCACTGCCGGGATAAATGTGGGTTTTCAATCAGGGTTATTTTTGGGCAGGAACGCACAGGAACGGAGATCCGGCTGGCTCCCAAGTTGGCCACGCCCAGCAGGAACTCATTAGCATAATAGGCCACACCCAACAGCAGAAACTCATTAGGATTGGCTACATTAGGGGTGTGTGGCCTAACATGCAAAGGAGTTCCTGCTACAAAAAAAGGCCCTGGGTTTTGACAACAAACAAGGTAAACAGAATAAGGAGCAAAAGGTGGGTGTGGCTGGATAACCACACTTCTGGTAACATGGGGGTGTGGCCTAATGTGCTAATGAGCTGTGCTGTCAGGGGTGTGGCCCAATATGCTAATGAGTTCCTGCTGTTGGGTGTGGCCTATTATGCTAATGAGTTCCTGCTGGGCTTTTTCTACAAAAAGAGCCCTGGATCACATGTTCAGCTTAGCATGCATTGAATGTAATGGGAGGCTCACTCAATGCACATACAACAGAAACAAAGTGTACTCTGTAAATGGATTGTACATATGTTCAGTGTAACCTGTGAACGGAGCTCAGAATTCACGTTTCTCCCACTCTTTCATTTTCTTGTCACAGCAACCCTGTGAGGTACGTCAAAGCTGAGTGTGACTGGCCTGTGACTGAGAGGACATTTTGAACCCTCTCCTCACTCTCCATCTGTGTGCAGAGGGACATGGAAATGTAGATCGTCAGCCCATGTCGTGCTTTTTGGATTAAGGCATGACAATCCCCACTGAAACCAAGTTCAAGCGCTTTCAGGATAGTCCTGAACTAGTTAAATGGGAAAAGAGCTGTCATTTGAGAGCGGCCTGTATTTAAGGTGTAGATTGCAGGCCTCTTTCCAGATATAACTGAACAATAAGACGGTGATTACAATAAACTCTTTAATCGGCTTTACGTCTGTTAGAAAGAGCTGCCTTTAAAAAAAAAAAAGATGGTTCTCTACAAGCGAAACCTCGCCTTTCTTCCTTACTACTAAAAAAGGCTTACTTGTTTGAATGTTTGGATGAACGCAAACAGTGGCAGCCAGACAGGTGTTAAAACGCCTCTTTCCAAAACACAAATCTTAAAGGGATTTGTAAGGCAGAATTCCTCATCTGAATTTACCTTACCAATACATGTTAAAGGTCGAATATCCTGGGTTGAATTTACCTCACCGATACCTGTTGAGGGTCAAATGTCCTGGGTTGAATCTACCTCACCGATAAGTGTTGAG